AGCCCTGTTTGTGCTGGAGTGATGGATTCTTTCAATAAATCCCAGAAAATCAGTTTGGTTTTGACGCTCAATTTATTTTTCCACAACAAACAGCATGTAATTAATTTGCTTAAGTGTAATGTCTTTGATATGCTGTTTATACATATTGGTGACTCTCAAAGTTGAGCCAATGGGAACTCAATCAGAATTCATGAAATACCAAATAAATATTGAAAACCCACATGGATTTTAGAGAAATGTATCAGCAGTACATAATTTGATTTGACTGATACATTTTACCAATGATTTAATATTGTTAACATAGTAAATCCACCCACTCACACACCTGATAAGGAAGAAGTATTTAAACATTTCTAAATGAAACAAAACTGTCACTGACAACTCTACAGAAAAAGCCAGGAGATATTCAGTTAATCTGCTTTATTCTGGATTAAACACAAAAATCTGCAGAAAACTGGATAGAAATGCATCCCACAAGGGCTGAGGATCTCTTTCTGAATAAAGCTGATTGATCAACAGATCAATATTTCTAATGGTAACATCACAAGATGGTTATTAAGTCATACCCACCACTACAGTAAAAACACAAATGTAAATGTTTATATCTCAATGTGAAATTGCAGTTTTGGGAAAAGAGAGACTGGTTGACACCATAAAAAAGATACTGTCTTATAACTCAGTTAATTTAGATAAAACTAAAAAACTAATACCCATAACCACGATCCTATAGTAAGCTGTAGTGTACTGTAAAAACATACTGTTTGAATATCAGAAATGACATATGCTTAAATGGTATTTTAAGTAATTGTTTGTCAAATAAGGACAAAATGAGGATGAGTTTACTCCCACCTCATTAGACCAGAGGGCAGATTCCTCGAGTGGCAATCCCACACTGGTTGTACTTGTTCCTGCTCATCTTAATGTATCCCATCTCTCCCCATCCAAGTCCCCAGCTACAGAAAGAAACAAATGAACAACATTTAGCAGGTAAAGCTCACACTTCATGTTCATGTATACGTATCTGTGTATCACCTCTCAGTGAATATTGTAAAAAATGAAATGAATGAATTAAAATATGAGCATCACATGTGGGTATTTACCTGTTCTTGACCAGCCAGTAGTCATGCCCAGTCAAAGTACCATAACCTACAACCAGCACAGCATGGCCCAAACGTGTGCTGCTGCAGGCCGGCTCATCATACAATCCTGTAAATACATGTCAATCAGACTTACAGGTATAAAGAATAAATTAAGCACCTTTCTTTTTCTATTTGAAGATATTTCACAAAGTGTGTCAATGTCTGCACCTGAATGGTAGAGTTGAAACGATTGATGAGAAGCATCAATGGACACAGATATCGGTCCAAAGGTAGCCACAGCAGACTTCAGTGCAGCTTCATCAGAGTTACTCACATGAACATAGCTAGTGCATTTGGCACCAATAGCACTGGGGTTGTAACGGCATAGTCCATCCTAATTGAGAGAAAATATGTTATAATTTACTATAATTTACTATACTAGATTGAATTGTATTTGAAAGAAGTACAGTAAGTAGTAAGTAGTACTACTTTACAAGTCTTGGAACTACTATATATTTTAGCCAGAAACCATCATGACTACCACTGTCTGAATGAGCACATGGCAGTTTCAACTTTGATATTTAGCAAGATGATCATAGTCAGGTAATGAACACCTGAAAATGTACGTTCAAAGATTTTGTTTTAGGAGATCTGGTGTGACAGCAGGTTTTTGAGACATTGCTGTCTAATTACCTTAGCTTCATAAGGGTAGGACGCCTCAGTGTCAATTCCTCCATTGTATATAATGTAGTGAAAAGCCTGGTATGAAAAGCCTCCTTGGCAGCCGTGGTTCCCAAAGCTGCGAGAGCAGTCCACCAACTGCTGTTCACTCAGAGACACCAATTTTCTTGTCTTCCTGAAGTTCTGACCCTCCAGTGCACCAGTCTGCAATAAATATGAGTTCATCTTAATCCAGAATATATAACTGATTATACAATATAATTAAGTTGAGCAAAGCCATATTACAACAAATAGAGAACACTAAGTTATATGTACTGACTGCACTGAAAGCCCAGCAGGAGCCACACTTCTTCTGATCCTTGACATCAGTGACATATCCCTTTTCTCTCCAGTCAACAGTGTCGGGCAGATCAATATCTTCAGGTAGCCGGAGAAACGAAGAACCATTGTGAGGCAGGGAAGCATTGAGGGAACCAAGGCAGCCCTGGGAAATCAGATGCTTGTATTCCTCATTTTCCTAATAATAATAATAATACATTTTATTTGAAAGCGCCTTTCAGAACACTCATAGACACTGTACATGGTAGAATAATAAAAGCAACATAATAACATAACATAATGAAGAAAGACATTTTTTTTCTTTTCAAATATCATTTTTGCAATCAAAATTTAAATGTTTTTAAAAAGGATGAAACATAACTGACACATGTTTTTCCGTACATACCATGTCTGCAAAGTAGGTCATACCAAGGTGGTATGACTTGAAACCCAGGTCTGCTAATATGTTGTGAATTAGAACAAATTCACGGTTGTTGAGCCAGATCTGCTTCCGATGAGCCTCCTCTGATGGAGAATCATAGGATTTTTCTGCCAGTTGGAAAATGAAAAAATCATAAAGAGAACAAAAGAGTTATGAATAAAGAATAAAAATTGAATTTCTGGTAAGAGATACCCTTTTATTCCTTTTAAAATTTTCTACAAGTAAACGTAAAGGTTAGTTCACATTTTTTCTCAGAATTCGAGGTTTACTAAGCATATTTTAAAGACCACAAAACATGAACAACACTGTAAAATGTAATATTGTGTTTAATTAAAAATATTAAATAGGCTGAACTCAATTTTTATCAATTTGTTATTAGAACTCAATTTAAATAAGTTAC